AATCTAGACTATGAACCAGTTTGTGGCATTCAAAGAGATTCTGCCGAAGGATAAATTCGCATACCTTTCCCTCGAAGAGTTTGTCCATCTTCAAATCATTATTTGGTGTGTATACCCCGTTCTGGGCGGCCAATTGAATTGTTCCAGTTTTAGCATCGAGAGCAGGTCCTTCTATAGCACGTATGCCCATCAGCAAAGCAACGCCAAGCACAAACAGTGTAGTGATGGAGACTCCCCCCGATACAGTCTCGGCCTTCGGCTGCGATGGTGCACTTGCTGGCTTTCCCATGATTTAGCTGTACGTAATGTGAAGGGTTGTACACTATTGACGGTGGACCTATGATCATACATCTCTATAAATACTAAATATGATGAGACACCGCGAGTGGTCGTATTTTATTTTCACATACAAATGTAGGACATAGTAATAAAAATGATATGAACGGATGTATCGTGTCATCTGATATCGACTCTAAGCACTGGTGTTCTCATCGACTTCATTGTGCTTTTTTGGCTTTAAAGCTTTTCAACTCTTTGAGTCCAGCCTCTCAGGCTCTCAGCTGTCGTGTCAATTGACTGAATTCACAACTGCAGTACTGCTCGCGGGTTATTATTTAGTACTAAACGTATCAAGATTTTTTTTAATCAATCAAGAAATCAAGTTTGAATATCCACTGGCCCGACTCAGAATCGTTTGGGACAGCAGTGGAATAGGACCGGCTAGAAATACAGTTCCCGTAAAATTAAATAAATTTATATACTTTTCATAGTACGTTAAATTGAGGAATTTCGTTGTTTACGTTTAGATGTAAAACGAAATTGAACCTTGATTCTTGATCGCATTTCGAAAGTGCCCTCCGGTTTGTCCAAATGGCACTTTTGAAAAAGAAATCACAATCATGAATTTCGCATAAAATCTTGACTCATGACTGGTGAATACCCGAGATGGCGGGAGTGGAAGTGTGGGGTTACAGCTACCAACTGTTCATTGGCGTTGTCTGTCAACTGTCGACTGTCAGATGTCAATTATTTATCACTGAAATCGAATAGCTCTACTACATACTGTACTACTAGGGCAGAGTATATATATATAGTAGAGAAGTCCCTTCTCAACTTTTTTAAAATGTGTCACCGATCTGGTCCCGCTAATAGCCATTTTAGGTTAAACGTTTCTCATTCAAATTTTAATGCATAGAAACGGGTACAGATCAGGAATTGTCCTATTCTCCCATCCTAAATATTACTACTTCATTGTGCGTTTAACGCTTTCAGGTCCCTCTGTCGCCTGCGACAGGTTTATCAACAGACTCATACATATTGTCAGTTGAAATTAGCGGTAATTTTTACCGGCCGGCGAAGTATACCACACGATAGCAATGGAGGTCTTGTATTTCTATGTACTACGTAATTTCATAGCTGACATTTATTTTTTAATATTTGTATTCATCTACATATGTATCTGAGAAGGCTATGATATTTATCACATATCTATTATGCCAGATAGCGTCTCCTCCTACAATAATAACACCATAACATTCGTCTAACAAGGCAAGAAGGGTATGAGAATGAATGGGACCAGGGTAA